TTAGGGAAAAGAGTTTCAAAATATCTAGTAAAGAAAAAGAAACATTTTTGGGACATCCCTCTTGTACTACTCCTTTAACACTCCATAACAATCTAAAGAATTTCACAACTAATAACAATGCAGGGCCATGATTAGCCATTAGTAAAAATTTATTTTGATGTCTGCTTTCCTAACCAGTCTCACACACATGGACTAATATACTCCTGACAAGGGGGAAAAGAAATACACATCTCCAAATCAAAGCAATACAAATATAGGCGTGTAAACGCTGGCTGGGACTTTCAAATTCTCCTTTGAGGGATTTAAAAATGTGTGAATTCCAAGAAAAACAAAAGATAGCCCACCCAAATCTGGAACATTTTTTGCATAAGAACATGTTCTCATGCAAAATGTGAGCTACGTGTTCACAGTTGCTCATAAATAGAGAGAAGTCAAGACAAGAAGGTGTCCTGAAGACCCACATCCAGACACACCAACATATAGATTCAATGTCAGACTGCTCAGAAAGTAGTCCCACGTGTGGTTCATGTGGTTAGCTCACATCATGGTTTCCTTTGATGTTTCATGAATGCTGCTGAGAGCCACGGCTGTCTTCTCGCCAGTGATGGGTGATGAAGATCGTGTTACCGGTCTGTACTGAGGAGCACAGCACTCAGATGAACTTCACGCAAACCTCAAAACACGCGTTCTTGCGCATGCCTCTGAGAGAAGCACACTCAGCTTTCAGACTTGCATAATGAAACTAAAAGAAGACAGTGTTGTCTCAGGTGCTCGCCAGATCAATGTGTATATGTTTAAGCCATGTAATGTAGCTACATTCAAGAAAAAAAACATTTTTTCTTGATTTTATGCTGTTTTGCTTCCTCTGAAGACAAATTTTGCCAGCAGAGTTTAAAGCGTTTTTGTATTATTATAGCTGATTTTAGTGTGAATTAAGCTCTTTTTCTCATTGACTCTCTTTCCACTGGTCAACATAGGTCAGCAGATGTAATGGTCACTGAAGCAGACACCTGCACAAACAGCATGCAGAATTCATCAAGGCACTGGTGGGCCCACACAAGGCTAGGCCAGGCTACAGTGGTGTCTGAGAACCATGTTGTGCATACAACAGGAAGAAGGAGATGTGGGTGAGCACGGAATTGCCCAGGCAAGGCAGGGCGGGACGATCAACACAACTTAAGATGAGGAGATTCCAGCGTGTTTCTGTTCATACAAGACTTTCAGCATAATCTGTCTGGGAACTTGGCTACAGATACTTTAAACAAAGTGAGAACCGTCACATGTTAACTCTAGGCATAAACTGGGGTGTGTTGGGTAAACATTCAGCCTGGAAAATAAAACATTTCCAAAAATCAGTTTCTGGTTTCTCTCACAGCATTCCCTGTTTTTCCTGGGGTTTTGCGTTTTTTTCCCCCCTTCTTTCCTGTCTTTCTCCATCCTTCCATGCTGGCCTGCTTGTGGAGGGAGGATTCACATGCTAATGAGGAGGCATGAAAGAAGTTCATGGGCTTAACAGACACACTCAGACAAAAACACACAAGCTAACCAGTGCTTAAAGGCTAAACCGATGGGAGAATACCATGGGAAACTCGGGAGTTGACCAGCTGAATGACTGAAAAAGTAAAGCGAGATTGAGCAATTGAACACCTCGACACTACCTATTGAGAAGTCATGAAAGCCTCTCTGTCTGCCCGCTGCACAGCCTTGAGATGCCAGGCTCTTTTGCGCTGCCCACCCACCCCTCCATGCTGTCGCCCTTAAAGCACCCTGTATGTTGGCATTCTCCTCATACCACAGTCAGTCCATGAAACTCTCAGCACAAATTCAAAGGCGCACCAGTGTTAACCCTATGTCACATCTGAACCTCCTCCACAAACAGTGGCGTGAAGATATATGACCCCTTTTTTGACCTTCGGGAGACCTGCTGACCCACAGAGAGAGGAAAGGTGGTGGAGGAGTGTCAGAGGAGGGAAAAACCAAGACAGAAGGGAAGGAAACAGAAAGAAGTGGGATGGGCTCTAGCAAAGACTTGTGGTGCATCACTGAATTAAAAAAAACAACTGCTTTACAAGTTCTGTCAAGAGGTCGCTTTTACGCGACGATGCAGTTCATACTTCAACTACGGAAACAGAGGAAACATTCATTTGAAGAAGTTGTGTGTGTGCTTTGATAGGAAATGAGCCTTACACACTATTAGGCCAAGGAGCTGTTTTTAGCACACAAACTGGTATGTAAAGAATAATTGGGGTCTAAAGATTTCCTCAATGGCGAGCTAGAGAAAGACAGGGAGGGTCCGAAAGTATGAAGAATTCAACAGGGGAAAAAAACATAAATGCACTCACACACACATAACCAAAGTGGGTGGCTTAGTGAGTTTGGGAACAGTTCTATTTGTCTTATCAGATCCTGTCATGCACTTCTCTCTGCAGAGAACCGCTGCAGACCACTAAAGACTTACCGCAGGTCAGAGAGAGAGAGAGAGGAATTCCTTTGGCTGGTTGAATCTGTGTTTATATGCAGAGGTCATGGCAGGGCCTGTGTATGTGTGTGTGTGTGTGTGTGTGAGTGAGTGAGTGAGAGAGCGAGTAAGGGCACTGGACTTATTTTCCATTCGTAAATCCACTCACGTGCTCACGCTCTGCTGCCTGCTGGAAATGACAAACACATGATGAAAATATGTCCACGTGCGTTTAGGTTGGGTTGGGGTTTTTAAATGTATGTATGTAGTTGTCTTTGTATGTGATCGAGTGTGTATGTGTGCGCATTTGTTTATGTGACGGAGATTATCCCTCCGGCGTCCGTTTGATTGGCTTTGGAGCTAAATTTGGCGTAGTCAGCGAGAGATTCGATTAGCGGGACTAAGACTGATTTTTTTAGTAAGAAAAAAAAAGTATTTACTTTATCAAAATGTTACATAGCTAAAATGAAGAATTTAGGATTTTTAAACAGTCTTCTTTACTATACAGTTCAAAGTTCCTTGAGACTGCAAGGCAATGATCATGTGTTTGCTATCACTTTCTTGTCTTACCTTAAGCTTGGCTATACTTGACACAACAGGAAACAATTGTTATTCCGGTGCCAGCTAAATCTCTACATTGCTTAAAAGGTTAATACTCTTTGACATTGCACTAATATCCCTGTAGAACACCAGCGTGTATGTCGAGCCCATGGTAGCGAGGTTCCCGCACTTTGGTTCTCATGACTTTCTCACCGTTCTGGGTTTCTATTGATATTTTAATAGGTTTTCATGGCTTTCAGAAGCAAAATTAGAATGATATCGTTATTTTAGTGAGTGATGCTGATTGTCAGCAGTGAGTGTGAGAGGTAAATGGGAGGCGGAGCAGGGCAGAGGAAAAGGTATTGTAGTCTGCACTAATGGAGGATTTCCTCCTCCTGTCTCTCAATAAGCAATATGTGACCCGTTCTAAGGAGGAGTGGGAACAAGGACAATTCAGAGGAGGGTTAGAGAGGGCCGGGTCTATAGTGTCTATAGTGTCTATAGTGGGTTGTGACTCTATAGACTGAACAGTCAATCAATCAAACTGTTTAGTCGCTTCTTCTCTGATTTTTCTCACCTCTATTTTAGCAGATCACTCACTTCCGTAGCTGAAATCTGCATATTCGCACCAATTATTGCAACATGCCAAGTGCAAAATGCAGTCTCTAAATATGTGGTTAGATTTACAGTGGATTCTGCGATAACAAATTTTGGACAATTTAAGCAATCTGTGACATTTTAAGAGAATTATTAACAGGTTAAAATGTTTTCTTTTCTGTTAAACTAAGTGGAACTTTTTAAAAAAAACTATAAACAACATGATCTTTGCCTGTGTGGACATGTCAAAGCATTTATATTTTTCAGGCTACTGAAGAAACTCTTAATACTTTTATAATTCTTATTTGTAAATACCAAACGACATAATCTGCATTTGTAAAATGAAGTTTTAAAGTGCCCTACATTGCTAAAGAGAAGTGTGGAGAGCTATTATCTTGCGGTTATTTAATATGTGTGTGAATGAGAAGGAGTGTCTTTCTTTATGAGCGTCCTTTAGTCCGGTATTGTTGATGAATGAATGCTCTCATCCAGCTGCAAGTGACATTGCAATTAGAGA